GACAAGAGTCTGGCCTGGGTTCAAACTCTAGCTCCTTTATCAACTTCATCAGTTAATCTCTGTGTACCTTAGTTCTTCATCTCTAAAATGAGGATGATAATACCTCATGGGTGCTAAGAAGAGTTCCAGGCATGGTTTGCCAAGAAGAGTTCCAGGCATGGTTTGCTAGAGTTTGTCCTGAGAGATCATGAGGACCAGTACTAAGACTGTCAGTGGAGACGAATGGCTAGAGATGTTTCTCAGATGTATTTGAAAGATATGTCACATGATTGGATTGGGGTAAGTGAGGAAGAGAACAGGAAGGTAGAGATCAAGCATGGTGTATTAGTCCATTCTCATGCTGCTAATAAAGACATACCCAAGACTGGGTAATTTATAAAGAAAGAGGTTTAATGGACTCTGCTAGGGAGGCTTCACAATCATGGCAGAAGATGAAGGAAGAGGAAAGGGACATTTTACATGGCAGCAGACACAAGAGAGCTTGTGCAGGGGAGCTCGCATTTATAAAACCATCAGATCTTGTGAGACTGATTCACTACCATGAGAACAGTATGGGGGAAACTGCCCCCATGATTCAGTTATCTCCAGTTGGCCCTGCCCTTGACACATGGGGATTATTACAATTCAAAGTGAGATTTGAGGGGGAGCAGAGCCAAACCATATCACATGGCAATCATGTTTCTCACTTGAGAAAACCTAGATGGTAGAGACAATGATCAAGATCAGAATATAGGAGGTTCTGAATATTACTTTTTAATTTATTGTGTTTAAGTTTTCCAAATGAAAATCAGGTAGAAGTCTCTGTTAGGCAGTTAGTAATGAGACTACGGAGCTTTGGAAATAGCAAATATAGATTTAAAGGTTGCCAGCATAAAGATAGTAGTTGAAATCAAAGAGAAACTTTAAAGTGAGACCATATAGAGTAGGATTTCTCAACCTTGGTGCTGTTGACATTTGGGGGTGAATGATTCTTTGTGTGTGGGTGCAGGGAGGAGGGGGGTGCTATCTTGTACATTCTAGGATGTTCAGCAGTACCATGGCCTCTATTCAACATAGGTGCCAATGGCACCTTTTAGTTGAGACAACCAAGAATATCTCCAGCTAGTCCCAAACTTCCCCTGGGGGTCAAAATCATCTTTCCTTGAGAACCACAGGTATAGAGTGAAAATGGTAGAGAGGGAAACTTGGGCAAATCACACACACACACACTGAGCCTGTTTCTGAATCCATTAATTGCAAGTAATTCTAGAAATAGCACAGACAGTGAGCAATGGGGGAAGGTCTCCTTATTCAACAAATGTTGCTGGGATAACTGGCTAGCCATATGCAGAATGAAACTAGACCCCTTCCTTATACCATATAAAAAAGTCAACTCAAGATGGATTAAAGACTTGAATGTAAAACCCAAAACATAAAAATCCTGAAAGACAACCTAGGCAATATCATCTTGGACATAGGAACAGGCAAAGATTTCATGATGAAGATGCCAAAATCAATCACAACAAAAGCAAAAATTGACAAATGGCATCTAATTAACTTAAGAGCTTCTGCACAGCAAAAGAAACTATCAACAGAGTAAACAGAAAACCCACAGAGCAGAGAAAATTTTTGCAAACTATGTATCAAAGGTCTAATATCCAACATCTATAAGGAACTTAAACAAATTTACAAGAGAAAAACAAACAAAAATTAAAAAGTGGGCAAAGGACATGAACAGACACTTTTCTAGAGAAGACAGGCTGGGCGCGGTGACTCACACCTGTAATCCCAGCACTTTGGGAGGCCAAGGTGGGGAGATTACTTGAGATCAGGAGTTCAAGACCAACCTGGCCAACATGATGAAACCCCATCTCTGCTAAAAATACAAAAATTAGCCAGGTTTGATGGCACTCGCCTATAGTCTCGGCTACTCAGGAGCCTGAGGCACAAGAATCCCTTGAACCCAGGAGGCAGAGGTTGCAGCCAGCCGAGATCCCACCATTGCACCCCAGCATGGGTGACAGAATGACACTCCGTCTCAAAATAAATAAATAAACATGAAGTTAAAAAAATAAAGACATACATGTGGCCAAATATCATGTATATGAAAAAAACTCAATATCACTGATCATTAGAGAAATGCAAATCAAAACCACAATGAGATATCATCTCACACCAGTCAGAATGGCTATTAAAAAGTCAAAAAATGGCTGGGCACAGTGGCTCCACCTGTAATCCTAGCACTTTAGGAGGCCGAGGTGGGCGATCACCTGAGGTCAGCCTGGCCAACATGATGAAACCCCATCTCTACTATAAATACAAAAAAAATTAATCAGGCATGGTGGTGGGCACTTGTAATCCCAGCTGTTTGGTAGACTGAGGCAGGATAATTGCTTGAACCCAGGAGGTGGAGGTTGCAATGAGCCAAGACTGAGCCAACGCACTCCATCCTGGGAAACAAGAATGAAACTCTGTCTCAAAAACAAATAAATAAATAAACAGTCAAAAAATAAAAGATGCTGGCCAGGTTGTGGAGAAATAAGAACCCTTATACACTTACACCCTTATACCCTTATACACTTTTGAGGGGAGTATAAATTAGTTCAGTCATTGTGGAAAGCAATGTAGCAATTCCTCAAAAAGCTAAAAACAGAACTACCTTTCAACCCAGCAATCCCATTACTGGGTATATACCCAGAGGAATATAAGTCATTCTACCATAAAGACGCATGCATTTGTATGTTTGTTGCAGCTCTATTCACAATAGCGAAGACATGGAATCAACCTAAATGCTCATCAATGACCGACTGGATTTAAAGACTGTGGTACAGATACACCATGGAATATTATGCAATCATTAAAAAAAGAGATGTCTTTCATGGGAACCTGGATGGAGCTGGAGGCCATTATCCTTATCAACTAATGCAGGAACAGAAAACCAAATACCGCATGTTCTCACTTGTAAGTAGGAGCTGCATAATGAGAACTCATGAACACAAAGAAGGAAACAATAGACACTGGGACCTACTTGAGGGTGGAGGGTGGGAGGAAGGAGAGGGGCAGAAAAAATAACTATTGGGTACTAGCCTTAGTAGCTGGATGATAATCTGTACAACAAACCCCAGTGACACAAGCTTACTTACATTACAAACCTTCACATGTACCATCAAACCTAAAATAAAAGTTAAATATAAAAGAAAATGTGATATATATACACAACGGAATACAGTTCAGCCACAAAAAAACAATGAAATTCTGCCAATTGCAGCAACACGGAGGACATGATGTTAAATAAAATAAGAGAAGCACAGAATGACAAATACCACATGTTCTCACTCATGAGGGAGCTAAGAAAAGGTAGAGTACAATCGTGGGTATTAGAGGCGGGGAAGGGTGGCAGGGCGGGGTGGATGGGGAGATGCTGATTAACAATTGTGGAATCATTGTTGGATAGGAGGAATGAGTTCAGGAGTTCTGCAGCATCGCAGGGCGGATATGCTTAACCAGAATTTAGTGTACATTTTGAAAAAGCTAGAAAAGAGGATTTTTAATTTTCACAACACAAAGAAGTGATCCATGTTTGAGGTGATGGATGTGCTAATTCCCCTGAATTCATTATTATATGTGGTATACACATATGGAAATACTACTCTGCATCCCACAAATATGTACAATCATTATGTGTCAACTAAAAATTAAAGAAAAAAGTGGAAACAACCCAAATGTCTATCAACTGATGAAAGATAAAATGTGTTATATCCACACTATTATTGGGTAATATGAAAAAGTACTGATGCATGCTACTATATGGATGAAATTTGAAAACATTATCCTAAGCAAAAGACAGACCCAAAAGGCCACAGCTATATGATTCTGTCTATATCAAAAGTCCACAATAGGCAAATACATAGAAACAGAAAGTAGATTAGCGGTTGCCCAGGAAGGGCTGAGGGTTGGACAGGCATCAGGAATGACTGCTAATGGAAAGGGCTTTTATTCTGGGGGTGATGAAAATGTTCTGGAATTAGATTGTAGTGGTGGTTACACCACAAATATACTAAAAACTATGGAATTATACACTTTAAATTGGTGAGTTTTATGGTATGTGAATTATATCTCAATTAAAATGTTTTTAAAAGTTGAAAATATAAAAGAAACAGCACAGATATCGTTGTGAAAGGCATATTGAAGCAGTCAAGTGCTAAGCAAATGGTACTCATCACTGCTAGCCAAAGTTTAAAAATTTGTGTATGAAACTGGTGAAATGGTGGGATTTTTCAGATCCCTTCTAATTATTGGTGTAATACAAAAGGTATTCATCCATCTCCACTGGTGTCAGCAGTCACTCCTCACATCACAGGCAAATTCTCAATTTCCCAGATGACAAAACCAAAAATCCCAAGCAGTTTTACAGGAGGACCCTCTGGCTGTTTTATGAAGTACAAGTCCCACTCGTATTCTGATTTCTCTGTTCTTTCTGCTCCTCCTTTAGCCCCAAAGGGAGAAAACTGATGCTAATAACAAACAACCCATTCGTGGCTATTCATGAATCTTGGTTGTTACAATCACGTGAGACTTGAGGTATCATATATTTTGGAGTTACTTGGAAACATTTTTTAAAAGACAAACAAAAGCAAAGTCTGAACCCTGGGTCCTGTTTTCAGCAGCAGTAAATAATTCCCCGTACTCTCTATACTCTCTTCTGCACCGGGCCCTTTACTCGTATAGTCTAACCACATCTCAAAGGAGGTGCCTAAGCATTGAGTGATTCCTGTAAATCAAGTGAACTTGCTTTAGAAAATGGCATAATCTCTTTCTAGAAACTATTCCTCACAGCCCTTTGGGGAATAATCCATTCATGAAACTGAAATATTGTTGGGCTTATTTTATATCTGTTGCTCCTCTTGGCTGTATCTGAGAGTTGGCTCTTGCTCTTGCTCTCTCTCTCTCCCTCCTCTCTCTCTCTCTCTCTTTCTCTCCCCCGCCCCCCCTTTCTCTCCTCTCTATTTTTCTCCCTCCTTTTCCCAACCAAACGATCTTGAGAAGCAAAGATTTATTGCCTGGAACCGAGAGCCACTGCTCACTCAGCCAACAAAATCTGGTCTCCAGTTAAGGCTGAGGGCAACTGGCTGTGAGTGCCTCAACCTGCTGAACCTGCAAAAGTCCCCACCTCCCACACTACAGCCTGCTCATGGAAAATTCCTGGACACAGAAGGGTCAGCCCACGGACAAGGAGTCAGCCAACCATGCTCCCCTGGGCACAAGGACCTTGGCACCTTTCCAACCACTGTCATTAAAAGTGGGGGCTTTTATGTTAGTTTTTCTTAAGTTCACGTTTCGGGCAACTCTTTATTATGATGGTGATTATTTTTTCTCCAAGGCCAGGCCTCCACCCTCACAACTTGGGTGGAATGTGTTAATAATTTGCTCTAGGGAGATGAAAGCGTCTTTGATACAAGGAGAATAAACACATGGAACGCTGCTCAAAGGTCTAATTTTCACAATAGGAGTGTGGTTTTCTGGACTGAGAGTCGAATGGGGAGAGCAGTCTCATTCCTGAGTCACTTTCCACCCTGGTGTCCCTCCTCTGCCTCTGCAGTTCCTCCTCACTTGCCCTGCTGAGGGCAATGCCTGCCTCTCCTCTGGGTCGCTCCAGACAGCTGGTGGCCAAGAAAGGCCGTCACTCACCATCGTGGTGAACACTGAAGTCCTGAAACTGACCCGAAGGGCATTTTCCTTCTGGATGGTGTTGCTTTGTGTGGGCTGAGGATCTTTATAGGTGCCAGGCAAAGACCTGCTTGGTGAAACCAGAACATATTAAAGCAGAGAAGACATCATTGAATCCAACCTCTTCCTTTTATAGATGAGGTTCCGGAAGGTTTTCCAAATCCCAGCGCAGCCTGTTCTCAAGCCCCTGTGCTGCCATATTCTCCTGGTCCCCAAGAATTGAAAGAAGTAAAACTCAGAAATGAAAGAAACCTGTTTTCAGAATTGCTTTAATTTTCTTTCTGCACCTACTCTCATTTTGGGGTGCCTCTCCCTACCAGACTCCATTCTTAGTCCCCTTTGCACTTGAGGCTTGTTCAAGCTTCATTTTAATATTCATTCGTTGATAGATTTGGTTACTTCAGAAGGACTGGTTTGGGGGCAATTCATGGTCTGGTTTGGTAGAAGAGGCCCAGTTAGGGTGTCCAAAGATCAAGGTCCAGCGCCCGTCAATTAGACTTGACCCCTGAAGCTGCTTCTCCCTCCCTCTGCGCTACCTGCCCAAACCAAAAAATGGGACTAAAACCTGCTCTACTCAAGTTCTGGAATGGTAGAGACATAAGTAAACAATAGATACTAAAGCCATTACTTTTGTAAGTGGATGAAAAAGAGTCCTACATATTTGAAATGGTATAGTTTTCATCTAATAATCTTATGGATTTGTAAACAATGGATAAATATTCCTACTTACAGTGGCTATTCTATTAACATAGGCTCGTACTTACTTATTCCTACTTTAAACTTCTTTCATGCAACAAATTCAAGGGCTTTGTTTGCATTATCATAATTTTCTCTGTATGCATTTGCAAGATTCTTTTTTGTGAGGTACCCAAATCTTCACTTTCAGGCATGTGATCTAAAGATCATTCCATCGTTTATTTTGCAAAACTTGAAATGTGACAGTAGTATTCTTTTCATCCAAATTGTGTAGCTTTGATCTTCATTATATCAGCATTCAAAATACATAGATTTTTTTCTATCATCAAAGTCATAAAACATGTTTTGGCCCAGACACCTCAGGAGATGGAGATTGGTTCCTAGGTCAGATTCCTCCTTTGCAACAATGTGTCTGAGTAGCCCCAGGCCACATTCCTCAGACACCTCCTCCTCCTCCTCAGCTCCTCTTTTCATCCACCTGCCTCCACTCAGTACATACAGTCTTTCTAGAACACACAGTTCAAAGATTACTTGAGAAAAGTCCTTCTTATTGGTAAACTGTCTAATTCCTTCAGATTTCATTTCATCTCGAAAATGGCATTATTTGTGTTTCTAAACTGACACTCTTTCCAAAATTGAAATGTCCTTGAGAAAAACTAGCAGTATTTTTAATCCACTGGGAATTAGTGGCATCTTGCCCTTTAATACTTGGCAGTTATGACAGTTGGAAACTTCTCCCGGAAACTTCTTACTGAAATCAGCTCCTTGGTCATTTATGTTCAACGAATTATTAATATTCTTAGATTCTACTGTAAAATCATACTCTGGCTGCATGTCCTTTGGGAGGAAGCTTCCTTCCCCAGTTATCCCCATAGAGAGATGCCCCACAACATGCTCTTCTGGGAAGGTACCATCCGGTCTGCATTTGGATGTCTAAAAAGAACACCCTACAGACAGACTGGTGACCTCTTCTAGCTGCAGGATCTCCATTCAGGTTCTGGGAAAACCAGTCTTCTTCTTTTTTTTTTTTTTTTTTTTTTTGTGTGTGTGTGTGTGTGTATCTCATCCCTACCTCTAACTGTCCACTCCAGTTTGATGAGCATCAAACTATGAATTAGCATGTGATTAGTTAGTGCTTTTCCACAGAAACAGAGAAATCACACTGACCTCAAAGGAGGCTGTGTGAATTTATTCTTGCTTTGTATCTTGCTGAAAAGAATCAAAGCATTCTGTAAAATGTTAACACGGCTCAGCATTTGGGATTTACAACTGTTTACCCAGCACTGTTGCTGCCACTGCTAATATGTCTTGTCACTTGCCCAAGTCTTGCCCTTGTCTTGCTTTCCTCTGACCCCATACAATATGGGAACATAAATATGATTTATCTAATAATGGTTCCTTTGTATTTATATCATTGCTTTTCACCCAGAGATGCTTAAGTGCACAAACTTGCAAAGCCAGGGGCTCAATTACACCAGTAACTCAGTCCTGCTGGCTTCTGGAACATGGTATCACAAGCTAGTAAACTCACTGATAGCAGAATATATTTTCCACATGTAGCATTGCAAGAGTTAAGTGATTGGTCTGAGACCAGGAAGGTAGTAAAATGTGGCAGAATTCAACCTGTTTCACAACAGGCTCTGTCTGTGAAGTTACCTCTGGATGTCATCCCCTGTTAAGCACCAGATAAAATAGTTGTTGATACTATTAATTGATAACTGACTGGGACTTTCCACTTCAAGGAAATGGCAAAACAATAAGCATTCCAATGAGCTGTGTGAGCTGTATTTTCTCCTGAGTCAAATCAACTCTAGGGTTATCCCTTTGAGACAAAGTGCCTTCACCTGCTCAATATGCATTTATTAAATATCTGCTATTTGTCATTCTGCAGGGACTTATATGTAGCAAAACAAAATTACCTCCATGTAAGAAACTGGTTTTGTCACTGGAAAGAGAAGATATACATATATGTAAATAATAAATAATAGTTCAGGCAGTATACAATTAAATGACAAAAGTAATGGTTCACATAATGAGTGTTGTAGGGTTCCCAAGAAAGGGAAATGAGTGGGAGCTGAAAAGGTCTGGGAAGATTCATGGAAGAGGGAACTAGGATCTGGGATTTAAAGAATGATTAAGGCCTGCACAGTGAGCTGGGGAACAAGATGGGCATGCTAGCCAGGAAGCGCTACCGTACATGGCATGTCTTTAAAATAGGTTAACAAATTTGGAAAACTTAAGCTGACGAAGGCGAAAGAAACCTGTAAAACTGAGAATCAAAAGCAAAACCCTTTGCCTTGGTAATAGGAAAAGCTAAAGCTGTCAGTGTTTGTCTGGAAACACCGGGCTTCTGAGAGTTCAGACATTTTTCTAAATGTATTTTAGTGTATTTCTACTTCATCCCAGGTGAGTGATTTGGCCAAACCAAGTGAAGAGCATTAGTGGTTTTGCTGTCTCTTTGCTGGATTGCATATATTTTGAATTGATTATCCAATTTGAAATTTGTAAAACATTCCCAGAGAGAAGCCTTATTAAAGTACTGGAAAACCTTTGGTAAAGAGAAGGTAGTGTCTAATGACACTTTTCTTTATCAAAAACTTTATACCTATAGATGGATAAAAATAAGATAGGCAGTAGAGAGAAGTGCTTCAGGATATTAGATAAGAAAATTGACACTTAACCAACTGATATAAAGATAACTATACCAGAAAATATTAAAATATACCGTCATGGATCTTGAAGCAGAGAGGAAGGAGGGGAGACGCTGGCTTGCAGTAGGCCCTGAGAAGATGAGGTGATGAAGGTTTCTCCCGTATCCTCCACCAGTGGCTCTGAGCCACAAGAACATAGAACCTAGAGAACAGAAAGCCCAAACACTGAACTTCAGAGATACCAGAAAGTTCTCTAAAAGTGTCATCTTCAAAAGAAGCTTGAAGATAGCATGGTGGAATGGAAAAAAAAAAACAAAAAAAACATGCATAGGCTTTGGAACTATTAATACATGGCCTTGAATCTTGGCTTAAATACTTACTTCATCAGTGAGCCTCAGTTCCCTCATCTTTAAAATGGGGATAATATTAGTATGGTTGTTGCAAAGAATGAATATGATCGTGTAAAGCATTTAGTAGAGAATACTGAGTACTTAATGTAAGTAAGCTTAGGAGATGCTTGCTGCGAGTAATGATGGGGATGGTGATGGTGGTGGAGAGTATGCCTGACCGTCCTTTTGCAAATCACATTTTGGGAGGTGGGTGGCTGCGTTCAGAAAGCATGGGTTAAGGTCCTCTAGTTTGACTCTGTCATGAGGAACCAGTGAGAAGTGAGATATTTAATGCTAAAATGTCTGATATAATTGCCAAATACATTTATACTTTGGGATGTTTCCTGCAATTTCATTCTAGTGGGACTCGTGTGTGACTGGGTATGTTCCCAATGAAACTATATTTTATTCCTTTCCCCACCAGTTGTACCACATCTCATACACACACACACACACACACACACACACACACACACTTTGCCGTGCATGAAACAAGAAGCAGATGATGCAAAATCCACTCATGCTACAGTCCATAAGCACAGCTAGATAGAATGTTAAGATGTGGCTTCTTTTCCTGTAACTAATCTGACAAGATAACTCATTTCTGTTGCACACCTTAAAAAATTTAACATTTAGCCCTATCTGATTTCAGACCTAACCTTAACTTGTCATTTAAACTATGCCTTTTAGTAACAGTTATTCCTGGGCACAAATTCTCAGCCTTCCAGAAGGCTTCCTCTTTCCTTTCCTGTTCCCACCACTCTCCCTCCCCATCTGTTTTTCCCCCTAAGGTGGTGAATGGAAAAGAGGGAGAGGAGAAGGTGGTTGTGGCTTAAGGTTTCCATGACCTCCTGGGGGTGCAGGGGGAGTCCTCTGGCTGCTGGAATCTATGGCACAGGGATCCTTGCCCAACTGGGGAACTGTGGTGCTAGTGAACTGGTGATCTGGTCTCTCCCTCAGGCTGACCAGGGCCTGGTGGAGACCCAGAGATGCATGAGTACTACTCTACTCTAGATAGGGTGAAGCCTATTACCTACCTTTCCACATAGCCTTACTGTCCTGAGAAGCATGAGGCTTTTCTACTGTATGGGGAGAACCAATAGGGTCTTCAGTCTTGGCCTTTGGTTTCTTTTTTTTTTTTTTAACTTTTTTTTGAAACGGAGTCTAGGTCTGTCGCCCAGGCTGGAGTGCAGTGGTGCAATCTCGGCTCACTGCAAGCTCCGCCTCCCAGGTTCACGCCATTCTCCTGCCTCAGCCTCCCAAGTAGCTGGGACTACAGGAGCCCGCCCCCACGCCCGGCTAATTTTTTTTTTTTTTTATATTTTTAGTAGAGACGGAGTTTCACCGTGTTAGCCAGGATGGTCTCGATCTCCTGACCTCGTGATCCGCCCACCTTGGCCTCCCAAAGTGCTGGGATTACAGGCATGAGCCACCGCACCCGGCCGGCCTTTGGTTTCTTGAAGGAGAGATTTAAATTTGCTCTTGAAAATCCTCTCTCAGAACAATAGCCTAATAAATAGGCCCAATATTGAACACCAGAAGCTGAATGTTATCTGGGCTTTTACAATTGACAAATTCCAATTTTTTTTTGTCCAACCCCTCCCATCTCCCCACGCCCCAAACTCCACCCACATACAGACATGCATACATACACCACTTGAGCCTGCCTATGTCCAAAGGGAGAAGGTAACAAAGTCTGAAAGCAAGAAAATAGCATGTTCATATTTTCCAGTTTTAAATTACACATGAAAGAAAAGTTAACAAGCCTCCTTCAATTAACCAATTCAGCCCCAGTGATATTTCTGAGATGATGTGAAAACTTGCTCTACATAGTCATCTGAAATACCTATGTGTTTTCTCTAACATGAAAGCAACATAGGAAATTATGCAAACCACTTGGAAAGAATGTGTTCCTTCTGCAGAATAGTCCCTTTCCTTTCCAGATCTAGCTTTTACTTGTAGGCCCCTGTTTATGTTTTAAAATGCCCTCACTATTAGCAGCACAATAGCCACCAAGACTTATTTTTAGAAAGAACACCACCACCCTGTATTCCAAGACTCTGCTTTACCAAGGGAGCCTTATCTGTCACATTTCATCTGTTCATGTTCTACAATAAACACCTGATTCATAGCCCTTTGGCAATTACTGTTCTAAAGATGACCACATGGAAAATTTGAATGATTAGTAAATGATTCTCTGAGATACATAGGCCCCAGCATAAAAAAAATCCAGCCTCAGCCGATTTCTATATACTGAACTGTGTACCCCCAAAATTCATAAACTGAAGCCCTACATCCCAGTGTGACTGTATTCAGAGATAGGGCTTTTAGAAAGTGATTAAGACTGACTGAAGTCGTAAGAGTAGGTTCTAATCTGATAGGACTGGTGGCCTTATAAGAAGAGGAAGAGAGAGAAAGATCTCTACATACATGTATTAAGGAAAGGCCATGTGATAATGAGAAGGTGGTTGTCTGCAAGCCATGAACGGAGCCCTCTACAGAAACCAAATTGGCCAGCACCCTGATCTTAGGCTTTTCAGCCTCCAGAGCTGTGAGAAACCCAGTCTATTGTATATAGTTATGGTAGCCTGAACTGTCTAACACACCAACCAAGATGAATAGCAACACTACTGGGTAAGACAGCTTTGCTCAACGCCACCTTCAAAGGCAGTTTGAACATCTGAGTAGCATTGTGTGTGTGTGCATGCGTGCATGTTTGCGTGATGTGTGTGTAGAGAAGAGATTATATTTTACTCTGAAGTATGCCCCTAGATTTGTGAACATGTTCACTGAAAGTAAGCTTTCAGTGGTTTCCACGTTTATTTTAGTTGATTGAAAGAATAGAGCAGTTTCTTGAATAAAGCGGAGGAATATGTCCTAGCCTAGTATCAGATGTTGCTCACAGCTGTCTCACAAATAATCTCTGTGAATTTTGAAAACTTTGTGTTAAAAAATAAAGAATACCATGAATTACTTGTGCACAAGATGTTAATAGCAGAGAAAATCACTTACTTATTTTAAAAAATCGATGGCAGCCGGATACCGTGGCTCACACCTGTAATCCCAGAACTTTGGTAGGCTGAGGCGGGCAGATCACGAGACCAGGAGTTCAAGACTAGCATGGTGAAACCCTGTCTCTGCTAAAAATACAAAAAATTAGCTGGGCATGGTGGCGCACACTTGTAGTCCCAGCTACTCTGGAGGCTGAGGCAGGAGAATTACTTGAACCTGGCAGGCAGAGGTTGCAGTGAGCCAAGATCACGCTACTGCACTCCAGGCTGGGCAACAGAGCGATACTCTATCTCAAAAAAAAAAAAAAAAAAAAAGGAGATACCAATTGGGACTATTAGAAATGGAATTCCCCCTTTCTTGTCTTCAGTTTGAAAACACATAAGCATATATACTGTTGTACATTTACAGGGAACTAATCTCTTTAGCTGCTTTACCTTGAGTAAGCCTCATAACAATCTGAGGAGGCAAATATTTTGCTGCCTCTGCCCCTTTCTAATTGCGTGACCTTGAGCAAGTTCCTTCAGCTCTCAGTCACTCGGCTTCCACACCTATAAAATGGGGACAATAGTACTACCCATATCTTGGTTTGTTGGAAAGGTAAAATGAGATAATATATGTAAAATCTACAGATCAATGTCTGGTACAAAGTAGAAGCTCAATCAATGATAGACATGTTGGCATTATCATTGCTGCTTTTTTTTGTAATTGTTATTTTATAGACCTGAAAGCTAAGTCTCAGAGCACTCAAGGATCTTGCTGAAAGTTGCACAGCTAATAAGTGACAGATCTATAATTCCACTCCAGATCCATCTGATACCAAAGTTGATGCTTTTAAATCACCCACCCCTTTATCTTGTCTCCCAGCCATCTATACACGGGCACCATGTGCTTACAAACACAGGACTGTAAATACCCCTCACTTACTCAAAGGAAGAGTCCTTTCTTATTAGTGAAGAGCTGGACCATTTACCCTTTCTGTATGTGGGTGAGCAGCTTAGATCACTCCCTCGGGGGAGAAAAGACTGAGTGATCCTAACCTTTTTTTGTCTCACTTACAGCCTTCCTTCTCCTCACTCCACCTCCTGAATGTTGATAAATCAAAGAAATGTCAACAAAATGAAAAGACTAAATAAACATTTTCTGTAAGGATCATATGAAAGGGGAATTTTCTTTTTCATCAAATATTTGATAACATCTTGGGCTTTTTGATGTTCCTTTCTCATACTTGGGACTGAATGAAAGTGTATGAGTCATAGACATGACCAAGGGAGGAAAAGCAAATGAGTCACTTGCCTGTTTGGACCTTCCGGCCTGGATGCTCCCTGGGATCAGCATCCCCAGAGGGCTGGTCTGGCCATCCCACCTGCTGCAGCTGCCGACTGAATGGGAAAGGGATTTCTTCAGGAGACGCTGGGACTCCTAGAAAACAAGTGAGTCAGGGAAAGTGAAAAACATCGGAGCCTCAAGGAGTTGCCCTGTAACTCTTCCAAAAACCATTTTCTGCTATCAGTTTAGAGGTTTCTTGTCCATATTTCATCACTTTCCACTCCTGGTTGTACTCCTGCTACAAGCTAATCACTCTTTAAATGCAGACACACACTTCAAAGACTTGCCATCCATCGTCCTCTCCTCCCCATTAATGCGAGTTACAAGTGCTTAGACTCATGCATCCTTCGACAGATAAATCTCTGTTTCCTTTACTGTTTTTATTGCTCTATTGGAATCTGTCCAGCCTGTATCATTCTGGTACCAAAGTGCCCCTGGTTGAAGCCCATGCTGCTAGACTTAGTCTTTGGGAGTTGGAGGGAGAAGGGTTGCAGTGTCCCTCAGCCCACTGTGCTACAGACCTTTTGAAACTTCCTCTCAGTCAGCTAGTCAGTGAATCACATTTAAAACCCAAGCTCACTGTCCACTTCCCTTCAATGGGTCTCTCTCTCAGAGTGCCATTTCTCTATGTTCACTCTGTTTTTCTCAGTGAGGACTTTGGTGCCTGGAAGCCATGAGTTTGAATTCCTACATCCTCTATTATTTTGCTTATAGACTTTGCCAAATTTATCGATCCATCTGAGACTCAGTTTCCCCATCTTGGCAAGGAGATAATAATTCCCATTTCCGGGTGTTCAGTGAGGATTTGGGGTTGGGTAAGTCAGCCAGGAGCATTCAGGTACTCTTCAGTCGGCCTTTCTCAGCCCATATGATCCAATGACTTATTTTTCCCCAGGGGCAATCCCCTTACCCCCCACCACCAAAAGTGATTTTGTGACGATTTTCCCTTCATTTTTTTCTCACAGGAGATCTCTCTATATTTTTTCCTCCATCTTTGCCTGGATTATAATTCTGCTGATAGCCAATTCTGAATCATCAGCAAATTATGTCAGCAGTTTATTCCCCTCACCCAAACACACAATACGAATGTAAAACAAAAGTTCTTCTGTAGCTTGTCTCACAAATGTGCTTAAAACTTCTCTCCACAGAATTTATGTCACTTGTATATGTAGTTATGCACTGCATAATGACATTTTGGTCACTGACAGACCGATTATATGATGGTGATCCCATAAGATATTAACACTGTATTTTTACCTTTTCTATGTTTAGGTATGTCCAGATACACAAATGCCATTTGTGTACTGTTGTGTTTCAATTACCAACAGTTTTCAGTACAGTAAAATGCTGTGCAGTTTTGTAGTCTAGGAGCAATATGCAATACCATATAGCTTTGGTATTGATATATAGTAGGCTATACCATCTAGGTTTGTGTTGCACTGTATGAGATTCACATAACAACAAAATTGCCTGATGATGCATTTCTCAGAACATATGCCCGTAGTTAAGCAAGACATGACTATAAGTCCAAACATGTAAACTGAAAAGTGCTAGAAAGGCTGCCATCATGAACACCAGTAGTTTTACCAAAAACATTAAAATACCCTCAGGTGATTTTAAAAAATAACACTTCACGCTCTGCTTGTCTTTTTAAAAAAGCAAACGAAAAAGATAAAGCTGTCAATACAATATACTTTCATTTTATAAGTGTTAATTGCCCTTAGGTGTGTTCACATTTATTTTCTTTGCCTTTCTAGGGTGTTAAGAGGTATTTTCTTTGCAAATAGTTTGTTCACTGTAAGTTTGATCATCTATTTCCTTCTTTTTAGAATAGCATACAAACTTCTAATGCCAAACTCTTAGACATTTATAGACAGTGTTCTCCAACAAAACAAAACGATTAAATCTGCCATTTAAATTCAACCAACCATTCCTCCCTCCACCTTCAGTATAACCTGATTTTCCAAATTTCAGTTGTGGAACAGTTTCAAATCCAGCTAAAAGAACCACAGGGGAACTATATTGGGATGTATTTTTTATTTAAGTTGATTATTTTAATAGCCATGCCAAATCCACCTGACACCATTCCCCAAATAGCCAATGGTCAACAACAATGAAGTAGAGTACGTCTCCATTAACTGTTCTGCTGTCAACCTAAGGATCATTCTGTTTGCTTAAGTTCTTTGTCCATAAAAAGGATCTTAAAATTACAAGCCCAGCAAACATTATTAATCCTAAGAAGAAAAAAGAAAAATTTTCACATTCAACAGTATTTCTGATAGATTACCATTTTAGTTCAGCATATAAATTATGACTAAGCAAACAATTAGACTAGAAGTAAAACATCTCAATTCATTCATTGGACATTAGCCATTACTTCTACAGAAAAAGAGAGTTTCAGGGTTGGCAAGCAGTTTCCACTATGATCTAAAACATAATCTAAGAATTACAAACTGAATCAATCCATAGCAGTCAATTGTTGGTATTGACATATTATTGACAAGATCTAAAATATAAAAAAGAAAAACACCTGTAATCCCAGCACTTTGGGAGGCCGAGGGGGGCAGATCACAAGGTCAGGAGATAGAGACGATCCTGGCTAACACGGAGAAACCCCGTCTCTACTAAAAATACCAAAAATTAGCCAGGTGTGTTGGCAGTCACCTGTAGTCCCAGCTACTCAGGAGACTGAGGCAGGAGAATTGCTTGAACCCGGTAGGCAGAGGTTGCAGTGAGCAGAGATCACGCCACTACACTTCAGTCTGTTAGACAGAGCGAGACTCTGTCCAAAAAAAAAAGAATAAATCATCATGCAGACCAGAGAATGCAAGTGTAAGCACCTCCAAAGGCCAGGCAGATGAGTTATTAAAACGGACTTCAGGGTGTAGGGGCCAGGTGAAGCTTCCCTTCTACCCTCTGAAGGTTTGCTGAAAATGAACCAACAATAAACAGATTAATAAGAGAAAAGGCATACTGCTTATTTAACATGCATAGCACATGGAAATTTCAGAATGATTGCTCAATAACCCAGTGAGGTCTAGATGCTTATTTGCCCTTCTCCCTAGGGGAAAAAGAGATGGGGCGTAGCAATTTTAAGGCATAGTAAATGGTTTTTTGAGGGGGAGTATTAATGTACCTGGGAGACAGAAATTAACTTGTAAGTGATTCTCTTTGTAATTTGAATGAGCCAGAGGGGCAGACATTATCTTGTGAAAAAGTCTCTCCAAGTGTGATTGCATTTCTCAATCTTCTTTTCTGGATTTTAGGGAGGGGATGGAAGGCAACTGTTTCCTTTGGCAAGTCTGGTCTTAAAGTAGATAAGGGAATATCAGAGTAAAGCCTCATTCTGTGCTTTGGGAGAGACAGAAGACTGAGAAACAGGGCAGGGTTGAGGGAGAGGGAAGAGGATCATAGAGACCTTGAGGCTATGCCTTTTGAAACCGCCTTTGCAAAGATTATGACAGTGAGAGAAGTCCAGCATGGCTGGCCCAATCTAGCCTCCCAGGCTGGCTGTCCTCACTCATTCCTGGGCGTAGGCCAAGCTAACCATGGGAGAAATTTAGATGATAGTTTAACTTTGAAGCAAGGATGATAATACTCCCTCTCTTAAACTGCATCTTTGTTTGGGGGCTGAAACCGCCTTTGTAAAACTAATGAAAGGCTACAAGATTAGGATTATGGGAGAGGCCCAAATTCTGCTAAAATGTATGCACAGTTTCTATAATCTCTTACTATTCAGGAGTCATGTGGCCAGAGGTCACAAGATCTGTGGCTTTCCCAGTTGCTCCTATAGAACACTAATATAGAACCTAAGATTGGTCTTTTGAGATGTTTTATAGACTGTTGCATTCTGGCAATTGAATGACCCTACCCAGACTCGTGACTCATCATTCAACTGGTCCCATAACCCCTGCACCCACCCAGAGGCAGATTCAATGCACAGGATCATTTTCCACACGCTTATGATTGCATCCTCAGTCAGCAGCACCCATTCCCTAGTCCCCTGCCCACCAAATTGACCATAAAAACCCTAACCTCTGAGCCTTTGGGGAGATTGATTCGAGTGATAATTCTAGTTCTCCTGCATGGCCAGCCTTGCATTAATTAAACTGTTTCTTTACTGCAATACCATGGTCTCAGTGCGTTGGTTTTGCCTGTGCAGCAGACAGGAAGAACCCATCAAGTGATTACACTTTAGTTCAGCATATCAGAGCACCATATTTCAGGGTATCATTTTCTGAGCCCCTACAAGGGTGAACTGGAGAGTGTAGACCTAAGCTAAGGGGCAGCTGCTACTTGATTTCAGTCATTTCATGACAAATGAAAATGCAGGCCCACAAGATTTTCTGATTTGTTGAGAGGAACAAAAAATACTAGATTTTCTTTTCTTTTTTAAGTGTGAAATCTTCCCATATTAAAGTTTTTGAACTAAATTGACTTTTTAAACCACTTGATGCAGACCAAAAGGAAAAACATCTGGGGACAACATTTAGCTCGCCTGCTGCTAATATGTGACCTTTAATTTAGATTATATGACAGAGACTAAATGAATACTCATCAAACCTGTATCCTGTTGTTTCTGAGCACACAGATAAATTATATTTCCCAGTCTCCCTTGCAGTTAGACCAGAAGAATATGGGTAGGAACAATGGACACTGCTGCCAAGCCTGATCCTCCACTCCCTCCCTCTCCCCTCCTCTCTGCCAGCCAGATACAGGGGAAGTAGGAGGACTCCAGGGTACTGGAAGGTGACAAAACCTCAAGGTGTAAGAAGCCTGAATGACTATAGAGGAGAACTGCCCTGCCCACCCACCACAGCAGAGACCTGCACTGCACTGTGATGAGAGAAAGAAACTTTTTCTAAAGCCCCAAGATTTGGAGGTTATTTGCTACAACTGCTAGCAGAAACTGATTAATACAGGTTGTTAGGAATTTCTGCTTTTTATGTGTCAATGATTATGTTGTTCAGCCCTTTTGATTCTGAAACAGTGAAACCTCAAAAATAACATTTTTTTTCATGCCGAAGCACTAGGAAAATAACACTAATAGTATGTTTTATGTCCACTTTGTTTTTTGAGATCACAAATGGGCGTACATTTCCATATCAAAACTGCTTTCATTAAGAAGCTTTACTGCTGGAGAAAAGAAGCCTTCCCTGGTAGAAAGCACTCTAACAGCAAAGACAGGGTTAGGTAAAGAGATGTCTGCATCCCACTACCATACCTTGGGTCCTTTCCCCCATCAGTCTACCTTTCATATTTATGGGTCATCTAAAACCCTATTACTTCTTGAATAGCCTGAATGGTCATGCGTTGAGTAGAATCACAGTGCTTCCTTCCTCTCTCTCTTAACTTCAGTTTTTCTGTCTATACCTTCACTTTTAGATGCTTGAAACTCCTGTTTTTAACATTCATTCACCCCTAACAGAAATATAACTACATTAGAATATTTTAACCATTTTATTTAAAATCATTTACTCTTTTGGAAACTTGAATAATTTCTAAATCAGGAAGATGTGCAGAAATAGAAAATAGAAAAAATACTGCAGAAAACAATTTTTTATGACCCCCTGTGGTTCATCCTCAGAGTGGAGAATTCTGTTTTCAACCGCAGATAATCCATTGGAACACAACACATTTTTTTTGAAATAGCAAAACAGCCTTTGTAATCATGATAGATATTTTTCAAAAGAATTAATATACAAATACTTGAATATCAGAAAATAAGGTAGAAAACTCAGGAGTGATGTAGACTTACAGTTAGACTGGGCACCAAATGGGATGCTAAGGAGGCTTCGTGAGACATAACAGCCTTTTTATCATGGTCACTGTGAGACCCTGGGGAGTGCATCCCATCCAGCTGTAGTCCACAGCGTAGAAGAAAATGCAGTACTTAGAGAGAGTTTAGAGGAGTATCATAAATTTGATAAAAGGGGATGATAACCAGATCTCCTTAGAGAAAGAAAATCTGTAAAGTACCTAAGACACAGGGTCCAAGTAGATAAAGGGCTTTGCTTCCTCTCCTTGGAGAGGGAAAAAGATACAACAACACAACAAAGAAAAGTTGACTCAGTTTCCATTCTTTGGAGACTTGATTAGACAGTGAGCCAGAGAGTGCAGGGGGAGCGTTTCCGCAGCATTACTACCATGTCTGAAGAAGATACCTGTAGTGATGTGACCAAACTGCTCTCTGCTCATCATGCTGCCCACTTCCTATTCAGATTATTCTCTACTTCTTCTAGGGATGTGCCCCTCTCTTTACACAGCTGAGTATTATCAGAAGTAACCTGCCTTCTCACCTATTCACTGTTAACTCCAAAGTGGGCAGAACTGATAAACTCGGCTTGGAAAGAATTAATGATTTTTTTAAGTGGCAAATAAGTCCTGATTCCTAATTCTATTTTGTTTATCTTCCCAATGGATACTCATCATGACTTTGCAAGGTAGGATTTTACAAGATAGGCACTACTACTATTATCCTCATTTTACTAATGAGGAGACTGAGGCAAGGAGAGGTTAAGTAACTCGCCCAAAGTTGTAGAGCTAGCAAAGGTGGAGCTAGGACTTGAACCCAGGGTGACTGGCTTCAGAACCATTTCACCATAGCTACCGTATCATACTGACAAAGCTAGGTAATGACTGGGAATGGAAAGTGTCAACCACCACTATGCTTTAAGTCATTTATGCACTAGGCTTGTTGCTCCAAACGGACATTAAAGTAAGGGCAGACCCTACGATATCTGGGAGTTTGGGTCATGAAAGAGTTTAGTTTTTACAGCATTGAGTGCCAGTCCTTGGATGGGGCAAAATACTGAGAAATGTCAGGAAGAGCTACATCAGTTTCCAAGTATTAGGAAATCACCTGGAGATGACTCAGATCAGAGAAAAAATACGGGTCAAACAGAAATTGAATATCTTGTTAATAATTTTGGCAAAATCAGATCAAAAAGCTGGGTTTTATAAATCAGGCAATCAGGGTTTTATATTTTCCTTGGTTATGCTGGCTTTTGTATTCCATTGCTTTCAGAAGAGGCCCTTTTGCCTCTTCTGAAATACGAAGTAAGAAAGTTCATCAATTAACTACTTTGTTTTGAGGCCAGAGGACTTAACTGGATAGAGGATCTTGGATGATACAGGAGGTAATAGGAACAAGGAAAAGAAGGGGGTTTTGATTTTGCCCACACTTGAGCCCTAGAGGGAAAGCGGAAGCAACGGGGTCATAAATGGTTGTAGCAGAGGAGGTCAAAGTGGAGGAACCTCAATGGGAGAGGGACACTCTAGTTAGGGACCTGCCTGACCCACAAATCATCCTACAAAAGGCTTTGCCCAGAGCATTCATCTGTACCAAGCTTCCTTAGAGGGCACCGAGTTTTAGTGAGGCAAGTTGCTCTCTTTCACCTTCACCTGCCTGCAGCCCTTCATCAGAACTGAATTATATCACAGGAACTGTGTAGTGATGATCTGTCTCCTCACCTTGTACAAACCGAGGAAGGAAATGAGTCTTCTGAACTGGGACTTTCTCAAAGATTAGGAACATGAAGGAGGAGAAACAAAGCTTAGAAAAACACCACTGGATGACAGGACCCTAAGCAGGCCAGCTTAACTTTAAAAATGGCGGTATTAGTTCTCTAAGATTGTTCTTTTTCAAGACTGTCAACTATTCTAGGTTCTTTGCATTTCTGTGCAAATTTAGAATTGACTTGTCA